GCCTGGGCTGGGACTGGTCCCGCCGGCGCAGGGTAGCAGGAAGCTCTCCACACACTCACCGGACCTGGGCTAGGACTGGGTCTAATTGAATTTATTTTCATTCAAATTTTTTATATTGGTGTAGTTTCAATAAACTGGAAGAATAGTGCAAAAAACTCCTGTACATTTTTTACTTCCTGTTTGTTTTATAATTTTTTGTTTGTATTTGTATACTCACATGCATACATATATCTGTGTATCCACGCATATTTGGACAACCATTTCATATAATCATTTTCTTATATTTATTTTGAAGTTTATTTGTCGTAGATTTGGCCAGTAGGAGCTTTTTCAAATCATTCTTGTGTCCATTTTTATGTATTTTTTTCCTCTTGATTTAATTTCTGGTATAAGATGAGTCTTGTTATACTTTCCCTGCTCTTATCATGGAATCAGCTATTTCTTTGAGAAACACTGTGTCATACTTTTCTCTCTCTCTTTTTTTTTTTTTTTTTTTTTTTTTTTTACTTTTCTCTCTTGTTGGGACAAAATATCCAACACACAAAATTAAGAAAGGAAAGGGTCATTTAGCTCAGAGTTTGTGGAGGTTTCCCTAATCAGCTGCCTCCAAGGCAGGATGTAATGGCACAGGGGCGGCATCTAGGTCATAGAAGACAGCAAAAACAACAAGAGTCAAACAAACCTCTTTCCTCCCTTCTGTTGTGGGCAGGCTACCCGTCCTAGGGCAGGTGTCACACTCACGCCATCTCCCTGGCGTTCTCTTGGGAAGGTGCAGGATGTTTAGAAAGTGAGGCTCTGTGCCATGCAGTCCTGCCTTAGAGCCAGCTGATCATGGACTGAGGCCTCCACACAGTGTGAGCTAAATAAACCTTTCCCTCTTTAATTTGGGCAGAAGGTATTTTGTCCCAGTCACTTGAAAGAAGTAACTGGGACACCAGTTGAAGCTTAAAGTAGCAGTTTTATCAGTGACAAAGATGTCTCTAGCATAAGGCCTAACTCTGTTGTGAAAGGGCTTAAGCCCCTGAACTACCGTTCCTCTTTCCAGTCCCTCTGCTTCCTCCCTCATGCACAGGAGCACAGTTTGCTTGAATAAATGTACTTCCGTGTAAGCAGAGACTGCTTTTTGCATGAGTTCTTTGATGAAACAGAAATAAAACCACCATACATGCATCTATAGAAAGAAAGGGGAAGGTGGAACAGTTCTACAGAACTGCAGAAGGGCAAATCCTCCAAGTTAGGGACCAAAGTGGGCAGGAATCTGGGAGGCCAATAGATTCCCTCCAACAGTTCAGCTGTCTACATATCTTCTCAGTTAATATTATTTTTTGATGGGTGTTTTAGAGGATTTTTTTATATTTTATTGAGAAAGTAGCAATGAGAGTTGCAAAACAGGTTAATAGGACAGTTATAATTAATACATTGCATATTGTTGTCTTTGTAGTAGTTCATAGTATAAGATGCAGACATGATATCTTGTTTAAATACTGTTAGTTCAAAACTTTCTTCTCATTGAATTAAGAGAAAATAGCTGTATATCTGTCTATGCTGTTTTGTATGTACAGATATATATATTTTTTTCACTACAAAATGGTCTTTGATTTATATCTCCCTTTTTTGTTTACTTTCATCAGAGATGGGTATTCCATTACCATCCATATATTATAAGTGGGCGAATTCAGCAAAGTAATCCAATATAGTCCAGTAGTCTATAACAGTAGTAGGTTATCCACATGATTGGCAATGTCAGAAGTTGTTGACCTGAGTCCCCTACAACTCAACATAACAACATGGCTTTACTTCTTATACTTCGTTTTTATACTTTTCTGCTGGATGGTTAAGACCAAGATAAAGCAAGACCTATGTAACAAGAATTGTAGCTTTTGTATCGGATAAGGTCAGTCAAATCCCCTCTGGATTTACACTGAAACCCTGAACAGCAGTTTGTAGATATTTTGTTAGTGTCAGCCATGTGGATGAGTCACGGCCATTGCTTGACCAATTTGCTCTCTGTGAAAGCCTGAGAGAATGTTCTCTCTCCATGTGACTCTCCTTAGGCATATTCTACATCGTCAATCACTTTCCTCTGTGGCCCCATAATCTCCTTGATCAGAAAATTTGGGACGCCACTGGGTTACAGATTGTTACAGTACATGTTCTCTTATGTCCTGAGTCCTCACTGATCTTGAAGGGCTAGGGCCAAAATGTTGGCTATCCTTGTAGCCCTTCTTTTTCTCTAATTTTTTGGTCTGCTAACTTAAGTTGTTAACCCTCCAGAAGAGAAGCTTAATGATATTATTACCCTAAAACAGGCTGTTGAGCTTAACATCAGTATCTGTCTGAATATCAAACACCTTAGACATAACATGGAACAGATATTTTCCTTCAGTTGTTGGTATCCTAAACTTTAAATCTGTACAGAATGTCAGTTAATATTAAAAATATTTTTTATTTGTGACTTACTAACATTTCCTTCAAATCAAACATGTAGACATTTGGACAGTGAAGCACCTATCCATTCTGATATAGCATATGGTCCTGTTGTTTACAGGTTTCTCCACCAACTAAAGGAAGACAATTCTGAGTTAATTAATCAACTGTGGACTGATATTCAGCAGAAGCTGGCAACACAGCCAGAACCAGCAACCTCTCCTGGAACTCCACCTTCTGCCCTTGTGCCAGAGGAACAAAGAGGTTTATTCCCCTCTGCATTATATCTAGCAGCCTGGCTTATTTCATTCTTTTTTTCTTTTTTTTTCTTTCTTTTTTGGCAGAACCGGGGATTGAACTCAGGCCGTTGTGCTTGCCAGGGAATCGCTTATTCTACTGAGCTATCTCCCTGGCCTTTATTTCATTCTTTTTGGGGCACAATAATACTTTCTAAAGATGTGTAACTTTTGGGGCTGGTGAGATGGCTCAGTGGTCTAAAGCACCTACTTAGAACAAGTTTGGCAAAGCACAGGGACCGCAGTTCAATCCCCCAGCACCACATGCCAGCCAGCCCCGCCCCCTGGTGGGCTGAGGTGGGCACACACACACACACACACACACACACATAAATTAATTAATCTTAAAAAAAAATAAAGTGTAACTTTTAACTCCCTTATGTGGCCTAATTAAGTAAAATACTAATGGATCCATCACTTGAAATACATTTTAAAGCAAGCTTGTTTATTTGGGATACTTTTTGCAATGTTCCCTTATTTAGCTGCTTTGAATGCTACTGATGCCGTCAAAAGAATCCAAAGCCAACTTCAACCTGAACAATCTACTGGAACTCTAGACTCCAGCTATATTGTGGGACAAGTGCTGAATGCAAGGAAGCAAAAACAGCTGCTGAATAAAGGTTCAGTCCCTTAATTTACAGAGATGAACTATTGAACATGTAACTTGATCCAGCTACCTTAACCGCTTAGTAAATGGTTTTCTTTGTCTTGTATGCACCCAGTTGGATCTAGTAAGTTTTTTGAAGGATAGCTAAGAAATCCTTCCTATTCCATTTAAGTCTGGAAAGATGGTTCTAGCATATTTATTACAGCGAATGTAAAATTTGTTTAAACTGTATATGTTTTTAATGATAAGATGGTAATTTCCATAAAAACTTTTGATAAATTGTGAACAATAGTCAGAAAATTTCTCTAGTCACTTTGTAGTTTTAATTTTTTGATCTTAAAATAGCTTGGCTTTTCATTCTTAGTGAAAAGAAGACCAGATCTGCATGCTCCTTCCAAGCAAAAGAAAAACACACTCTCAGCGAGCACAGGCTCTGCAGACTTGCAGAGCAGCACTCATTCCAGCCTGGACGTCCTCAAGCACATGATCCATGAGGTGGAGCAGGAAATGGCAGAGTACGAGCAGTGCACAGGACGCGCGGTCACGGGACTGCAGGGTGGCCAGGGTCTCACAGGCTTCACATTGTCCCTGGTCAGCTCGCTCTGTCGCCTGGTTCGGTACCTTAAAGAGGTAAGTGTGTACGGGTTATTTTTAAAAATAGGTTAACTACTCTAATTCAGATGTTTCAGTTTCTGTGGAGATGTTTTCCTAAACCCTCCCCACCCCTTTTTTTTTCTTTTTCTTTTTTATTTCTTTTTATTTTTTTGGTACAGGGGATTGAACCCAGTGTTTTTTGCATTGACCTACATCTCCAGTCCATTTTATTTTGAGGTAAAGTCTCACTAACTTGGTAAGTTGCCCAAGCTGGAATTTGCCTTCCTCCTACCTCACCCTTCCATTGTACTGGGATTGCAGATGTCTCTGCCCTGTGCCTGCTTTTTTTTTTTTTTTTTTTTTTTGCGGAACCAGGGATTGAACTCAGACACTTGCACTTGCCAGGGAAGCACTTATTCCACTGAGCCATCTCCCTGGCCCTGTGCCTGCTTTAAAATTGCTATTTAATGAAAGATTTGTTGTCCCAACATACTTATTAAATTCTTCACATTCTTTTACCTGTAAGTCAGCAATCTTCAGATGCGGGCTACAGGGGTAGAAGCGTGTTTACCTAGTCACTTACTTTGCAAAGCTTTGAATTGATGATCTAGCACGTGTATGAAACTTGAAAATACAGGAGGGTGTAAATGAAGCATCTGATGCTGTCATTGCCTGTTGCCAGTACAGCCTTTTAGAGGTGGTCTGTATATTCAAACAATATGTAAATACTGCTAAGCATGGTGGTATATACCTATAATAGCAGCATTCTGGGAGGCTGAGACAGGAGGATGGCAAGTTCAAGCCCAGCCTGGGCAACTTAGTGTCTTAGCAAAACCCTGTCTCAAAATAAAAAAATAACTACTCTGGTTTCTCTTCAGATCATATAAATCTTTGGTCTTTCAATTAAAGAATTTTTTTGAAAAATGGCTAGGGATATAGTTTTCTGAGTGGGAAAGCCTGGAGTTCAATCCCCAGCACTGCAAGAAAAAAAGTAAATGTGTATCCTTTCACTTTCTTACATTAAAAATATAGTTATTTGTATACTATTTTGTTAATTGTATTCAAAGAAGGGAAGAGATAATGCAGCAAATTTTATTCAAAAAGTAGGCTAACAAAAATTTTAAATTCTTGTGCTTACTTTGCTGGTGTATATACTAAAATCAGAATGATACAGAAAACATTAGCATGGCCCCTGCTCAAGAAGAACATGCAAATTCATATTTTTAATATATATGTATGTGACATTCTCCAAAATGAATGTAATTATTAAGTGTTATTATGTGTTGCAAATACAGACCAATGGAAAAAAATTTTAAATTTCATTGCTGTCATGTGTCTTTGTAATTTTGCTAACTTTGAGCAGAAACTTTTAGTTTTCAGCATGTTCTGTTACTGGCAGAAGTTTTCAATTTTTTTTGTTTTTTAGAGTGAAGTTCAACTACGTAAAGAAGTAGAGACAAGGCAACAACTGCAACAAATATTAGATGATCATCGAGAGCTCATTGATGCTCTGACAGCTGAAATTATTCTTCTTAGAGAAGAAAATAGTACCATACAGGTACTCGGAGGCAATCCTAGACTTATTATACTATTTATAATAGTATAAGACATCTTTATGCGTGTATGTGATATCTTTAGAGTTTCCTTTGGTTTAGCTGTGCCTGTGTAGTTACTTATCACTCCTTGTTATCAGTGCTAGGTGTTACTGAACATTTATGATATTGTAGAAGCTTAGACTACAGATAGTATGCAGAATAAGTCTACTGCCTTTAAGAGACATGCTACTTGCTGTAGGAGACAGAATGTACATTTAAATGATAATTACTAGTACTGAAATCATTAATCTAAAATGTGAAGTGAGTGCTGTGATAGCCACTCTAATTTCAAAACAAGAAGATGACTTTTCCACAGCCCTACAGTCACAGCAGAGGCTATTTACAATTGTTTGTATCTCTTTTACATTTGATTTGCCACTTGACTAATTGTACTTTTTTCTTAAAAAAACTTTGGCAATATACCTTTTAGAATACCTTGTCCTTGTGCACTGCTTTGAGCTTTCTTGCTTTGTATGCCTTTGATGCCCTGTTTTTTTGTTTTTTGTTTTTGGTATTAAGAATCGAACTCAGGACCTTGCATTTGCCTGCAGGTGCTGAGCTGCGGAGCTATAACCCTGGCCCATGATGCTCTTTGGATATTGTGTTTTACCTTTATCACATTATGATGTTACACTTACGTCTTACTGTGTACTTATCACTGAGACCTTGTGCAGCTTGAGTATAGAGACTTCTTACTGATCTTTTTGTTCTTATTGGTGGTGGTTATTACATTTATCAGCATAAGAGATGCAAATAATAGATAAATTTGTGTTTGTGTCAATAGACATTAGTAAAGATGTGTCATTTAAAAGAATTAATATAGTCCACATTCCATTCCAGCTTTTTAGAGTGTATAATTCTATATTTTATAGTTTAGAGGGCTAAACTCAATGTTCTCAATCCAGAACATTTTCATTATTCCAGAGAGAAATCCTATGCCTGTGAGGAATCACTCCCTCTCCATAGCCCCTGGCAATCACTAATCTACTTTCTGTCTTTATGCATTTGCGTTGTGTAGACTTTCATAGAAATGGAATGATGCAATATGTGGTCTTCTATGCCTGGCTTCTTTCATTTACCGTGGTTTTAACGCTCACTAATTCTGTATCTTATATATTTCATTCTTTTACGTCACCCAGTAATATTCCATTTTATAGATATGCCATATTTTATGTATACATTCTTTAATTGATGAAAATTTGGGTAATTTCCAGTTTTTGACTATTATAAATATCGAGGCTAGAAACAATCATGTACATATTTTTTGCACAAACCTGATTTCAGTTCTGAGAAGATAATGTTTCAAATACACCAATTCATTTAACAGATCTTTCTTGAATACTTGCCTTGGGTCTGGCATAGTTCTAGATGTTGCAGTACAGTTGAGAACAAAATAGAGAGATCCTTACCCTCATGGGGCTTGCCTTTTAATTAATCCTAAAAGACGTATTACTATTAGTAAGTTAAATGACAATATGTACTTTGAAGAAAAGTAAAGCAAATAAAAGGCATGGGAAATGTCTACATGGGTGGGATGTGGTTATAAATGCAGGGAGCAAAAAAAATAAATAAATGCAGGGAGCCATGTCTGTCTGAAGAGGTGACATTTGAGCAAAGACTTGGATGAGGTGAGGGGCCCAGTGTTCAGAAAAGATGGCAGAGAATAGTTTAAGCAGAGGAAAAGCAGGGGCAAAGGTCTTGAGGTGGGAGTGCAGCTGTGAGTGAAGAGTTATCAGGAAAACTAGTGTTAGTGTGGGGGTATGGGGCGTAGAAACGGGAACCAGTCAGGGTCAAGGTCAGATAAAGCAGATCACATGTGGCTTTGCATATGGGTTGAGGACTGGGCTGAATGAGATGAGGAACTGCTGAAGAGAAAAGGCTGATCTGATCTGGGTTTTAAGAGAATCACTGGGCTGCAGTGTTGAAGCTGGAGCTGGCTTAGATCCCTGTTGTCTTTTGGGGAGCAGCGCCTTCAATGTCTCCGGAACCCTTAGGCCAAGAGAAATATTTAACAGTTCCATTAAGTGGTTAGGTCCAAACATATGTCCTAGTAACTTAGGAGCTATATGAAAAAAATGCACATAATTGAGAGAAAAACTAATGTATTTCATTCTTAAATACCTACAGTTATTTATCAGTTAAATGTGTGTACCTTTTGAGCAGTGTACAACTTTTGAAAGAGTTTAGAATCATACTGGACACAGTTACTCTTACTTTCTTTTTCCACATTGATTTTAATCCAGAACTTTTTTTTCCTTGTGTTGTGCTTGTTAAAATCCAGTCATGAGAAGATAAGAGCTTGTGAGTGTAGTGGTTTTTGTTGAAACTGTCAACCACCCCAAGCTAGGAGTTCATTGATGTCTGATAGATGGTCAGGCTTCACTGTGTCTCTTGAAAATTGGAAATGTTCTCTGGTGCCTGTGAGTTCATCCTGGTGCCCTAAATATCTTAGCATACAGTTTGGAAACAGGGCTAGATTAGGTGGCCAAACACAGGAGCGCAGAGGAGTTGTTGGAATAATTCATGTGGTACATGAAGGCTTGGTCTAAAGTAGAAGAGGAGAGGGTGTGAAAATTGATTAAATTCAGAATATGCTTAAAAGCCAAACAGACCTTTTTGATATATGGTAAAGGAGACAATGTGAGAAGAGAAGAAGTCAAAGGCAGTTCCAGAGTTTTGGACTGAATAGTTAATGATGAAGTTTCTATTTATGACTTGGGAAAGGCTTCAGGCGGAGTTTGGTTATGTATATCTTTGGTTATGTATATAAGGAGTCTATTTGAGTCCTAAACAGAAATATTATAGCCATTGGGTGCATGGTAATTATGCTTTTTTTTTCTTTGATTACTAATCATATTGAAAGTGGTAAGAGGTTCCACAACACCAAATAAACCAGTTCTGAAGTTTCTCAAGGTAGATTTAGCAGCTCCAGCTTCTTCAGTGTTTATCAAAATACAAAAGAAAAAAAGAGGTCATCTTTTCTGATGGCAAATCAGACCTTTGCAGGCTGAGAGAAGAAGCTACTTCAAACATGGAGGTGGGGGTGCTCCGGGACTGTGGTCTGGAGGGGACCAACTGACCCAGCTTGCACGTACTCCTCCTGGTGAGACCCAGACTTTGACCAATGCAAGTCCTGACTGGGCACTAGGAACAGGCTGCCACTCTAGCTGCACACTGAGCAAGGGAAGGGTGGTCCCCGTACCCCTTGTAACCCTCCCTACTACCCTGAGGTGACCATGTAAGCATGAGTACAAACACAATGCTATGGCATGTACCAGCACAATGCTATGGAATGCTAATTATGCTTAATTTAGGAGTTTAGTGTTGTAACTCAAAAATCAGATGACAATGAGGCATCCAAAAGTTAAAGAAGCGCTTTATTTTAGCTGGTACCCAGCGGCAGACACCCCCGCAAGATGCTGAGGTGCGCACCCAGGAGGGGAAAGACAAGGGTTTTTAAGGCTGAAAACCGCAAAGGGGAGGTCTTATGATTTGAGTGCAAGGGAATGCAACACAGGAGTCAGCGTCCACTTTCGGGAAAATAGATCACATACAATTTTTAGGAACAAATAATTACACTTTATGGTTCGGTGTTGATCACAGGACATATTGTGTGGAGTATTCTGGGGTAAAAATAGTTCAGATCTCAACCTCTGACACACTGTGGTTTAGAACAAAGGAATGGTTTGAACATTAACAAACTGTGTTCAGAGGTCCGATGAATGGCTTGAGCCATCAAGATGGAGTTTAAGTTGTCAGCTTATACCAAACAATCCTCATTAATAAAGTTACAGTGGACATGTACAGAAATGTATAATACAATGCCCATTCTGGTTACAAAATGGAGTGGGTATTTAAGCCAATAAACCATAAAAGCTGACCTCAAGGGTTTATCTTGGAGCTACAGTTGAAAAATTACCTGTTTCTAATGAACAATAACAAGTGCAGTGGTGGGTACAGTTTGTAGTTGGGAAGAGTGCGAGATCAGGGTATTGGGCCGAAACTAGATTCAGGTGCGCACAAAAGGGCAGCGTGAGAAAGGCCCAACTGCAGGTTCTCAAGTAGAGAATGGGCACAGTGGGAAGTTACAGCATTTAGAATGTCGCATGCAGAACAAGATGGCGGCGCATATGTCAGGTTGTAACAGTTAATAAAGTCACAGTGGAAGCTTACAGAGTTACAAAATTGGAATCAATTGCACAGGCTATAACATTTAGTATTCTTAATTCAGTCTTAATATTTTTTTTTTTTTTTTTTTTTTTTTGCGGTACTGGATATTGAACTCAGGACCTTGCAGTTGCCAGGCAAGTGCCTATTCTACCGAGCTATCTCCCTGGCCCTGAAGCTACCTCAACTTTTTTTTTTTGTATTTTAGGAAAGGGTGTACAGAGTGTTCAGGGTCTCACTACTAGATCGGATTTAAAATAATGGTATCAAGGCCTGTGAGGTAGCTCAGTGGACTAAGTGCCTGTTTTGGCAAGCTCAGGGACCAGGGCTTAATTCTTAGTCCCTCGCTGGGCCAGCCCCACCCCCAGGGCTTGCTGAGACTGAGTCTGTGACTGAGTCTGGGTGTGGCAGCGCAGGCCCATAATCCCAGTGCTGGGGAGGCTGTAAACGGCAGGATCACTATGAGTCCGAGTTGCATAGTGAGACCCTATACCAGATACGTAAAATAAAATAATGGTATCAATACACACATCCCTGTTATGACAGAGAGGAAGGTAATTGCCTTCACAGCCACACCACTAGGACCTGGCAGAGCTCAAATTTTAGCCCAGGTACCTTTGCCCAAAGTTTGTATCTACTCAGTCAATAAGTATTCTATACCCTGGGATATGTCAGGCAAGCTCTGATGCTTTTGTAGCTGGGCAGTGAGTGGGTACTTAATGATTTTACCATGTGAGTACTTGTTCAGGGTGCTCACTGAATTATATTTAAAAGTGATTTGTGGTTTAATGGAAGTTGAGTCATTTGAGTGAAAATAAATGAATTGCCTATAGGAAAAAAAAAACCAAAACACACATCCCTTGTATGGCTCATGGTCTGTGATGGCTGGATGTTTGTTATAATGGTGCACTTTCATTTCTTCTCCAGGCTAGACTTCAGCAGCACATGGTCACAACAGACGAGCAACTTATATCACTCACACACGCCATTAAGAACTGTCCTGTGATAAATAACTCTAAACAGGAAACTCAGGCTTCAGCTTCACAAAGGGGAGCCACAGAGAGCAGAGCTGGGGGCATTCCAGGTAAGTGTAGTCTTATTATCCCAGACCATCATTAAGCAACTTAATGATGCAACTTAGAGCAGTGATGGTGAACCTATGGTGCATGTGCCACAGTGGGCTGTTTGTGACATTGAAAGTTATAAAAGGTAGGTTGTTAATGCCTTAAAGTAACAGGCAAACCAAACCCTGAATCCCTGAGCTTCTATGGAATTATTGGCTCTTTAGGCATAACTGTATCATCACTACTATAATTATCATTACTTTTCAGCTGGTATTTATAAATGCTTTTTTAAAATATGTATTATCTTTAAAAAAATCATTTATTTATTTATTTATTTATTTATTTATTTGGTACAGGATCTTGCTATGCAGTTTGGACTCATAGTGATCCTCCTGTGTCAGTCTGCCCAGCACTGAGATTACAGGCATGTGCCTTTAATTGGGGCCAGCCTGGTATGTGGTACTGAGAATCAAACTCGGGTCCTTGTGCTTGTCAGATAGGTGCTTAGGCTGCTGAGCTATCTCCCAGCCCTGTATTATCTTAAAAATAATCATATGAAGTGGATATTACTGTTATTATATGAGGAAAGTAAGACTTAGAGAATTTAGGGCTCTGTCTTCTGATGAGATATTGCTGTTAGTATCTCTGTCAAGAAGTATGATAGGGCCGGCCAGATAGCTCAGCAGATTGAAGTGCCAGCTTAGGCAGATGGAGGGAACCAGGGGTTCTGTCTCCAGCCTGTTGTGTCGGCCCCATCCCCAGGGCACACTGAGATGGCGAATGAAAGTGGGCATGGTAATCCCAGCGCTTGGGCAGCTGTAAAACAGGAAGGATCACTTCAAGTCTGATCTGTGTAGTGAGACTCTGTACTAAATACATTAAAAAAAAAAAAAGTATGTCAGTACTTTACTGTTGCCCAAGTTAAGCTTCACTATGGAGAAAGATTTTAGTTCTTCAAAGATTAAAAGAGCTAGAAGTGAGTATATTAGAAGGTCATTGTTACTTTTATTAAAAAGCCTGTGGAAAAAGATAAAAAGATTTATATAGGTGAATCCAGCTTAGCATCTTTGTGTAACTCTATATAAGTTATTTTTCTTGTTGCTGAGACTTTTAAAATACCTGATGTCCAAAGTTAGAGTGTCTTACTTTTCTTTCATTGCTGGGACGAAATACTTGATACCCAAAATTAAGGAAGGATTTAGCTCACAGTTTGTAGAGGTTTCAGTCCATAATCAGCTGGCTCCAAGGCAGGGTGGCCTGGCAGAAGAGCAACAGTTTATGGTGGGTGGGCACGTGTGTGCGAGAGAGAAAGAGAGAGAGAGAGACAGACAGACAGACAGACACAGAGACAGAGAGAGACAGACAGACAGACAAGAGATAGAGACAGGCTTCTTTTTGTGTCTTGTGTTTGCAGGCTAGCTGGATTAGGGTGTTGCCAGTCTAATTAATGGACTGATCCAGCAATCACTCACTTTTAATCCCAGCATTGCAGTATGAATCAGTTATGTACTGTAGATTTAGCAACCCTGAAAACCCTATGACTGCATGATACTTGGGGAGACATCTAGACAAAAACCATAAAAAACCCTTCCTAGATAATAATGGAGTAAGACTATACTATTCACAGTGCATGACTTGTGAAATTATAGTGACCTTGTCTTGTGATGTATCTTGTGTGCAGAGATCAGTATTTACATGTCTTAGTTTTTCCATTTGGTTATTTTTAATGTCATTAGAAAGCAAATAATAAATTCTAAAGTGCCAGCAAGAGTTTGTAGGTGGCTTTCTTTTTTATAGCTCTTTTTGCCCTTAGTTCTTTTCTCAAAAATAGCAACTTCTTGCCACTGTCATCTTTGAAGAAGTCTGCTGATGAATTATTGGCAAAGGAAGATGTAGCCTAGAAAATGAAGGCTCTATGGTTCTGTCAGTGTCTATATCTGGGTGGCCCTGCAAAACTTCATATGTGCAGCGTCAGGACTTGGGGAGGAGAGGAAGCTACAGCTGGCTTGGTGTGAAGAGGAGAGGGCTGATCGGAAGAGGTGGGTCTTGGGGATGTGACCTGGAGCCTCGTCTGCCTCCTTAGCTCCTCCCTTCACTCTCAGCTCTTGGCTGCTGTGATGTGAGCAGCTTTCTTCCCTACCAGGCCCTTCCACTGTGCTGCCCTGGCACCAGCTGATTATGGATGGAAACCTCAACAACTAGAGCCAAAGTAAACCTCTCCTTTAAAAATTGTGGGTTTTGAGTATTTTGTCTCATTGAGGAAGAAAGTGACTAAAACAAGCCATCTGCAGCTTGCACTCTACTTAAAGGCACTTAGGAATACATATCTGAAACGTGCCCACACTTGCTTTTTGTTCCTTGCATACAGATACCCTCTTTTCTTCTGCAGAGGCTCCTGTTGTAAGTTCTAATGTGTCCATGCCATTGATGTTCAGAGAGGAAGAAGTGGTTGATTTCCTTCAGGAAGAGTTGCCTGTAAAACTGTCTCAGATGCCAAACTGCCCTGACAGTACACATCTGGCCAGCAGTTTTCCAGCACATGTCTTTGAGCCAGCTGTGTTGTTAACACCACCCAGGCAGAAGAGCAATACAGAATTCCCTCCTCTACAGGATGGTGAGCAGGCTTCGCCTAACAATGTTATATTTCACTCGTGTAATGTATTGTGTTTATGATTACCTGAAAAATGTAATTGAAAAACATTGATAACTGCCAACAACCTTTCGTGAAGGGTACATTTTTAGGGTGATTTATACTAGTGTTTTATACTGATGCAATAAAGTGTGACATTATACATCTGTTCTACTGAACATTGTAAATATTAAACTCAGATCAAAGGATCAGAGTCTGGAGGATTAAGTTGCTGAGTAAGAGGAATTCTCTTTGTCCCCATTTTCCTGTAGTGTATGACATAGAAACAAAAGGAGATTATGCTCCAGAAAATAAGGAAGTTTAGTGGGGGAAAGATGAGAACTGTGACCTAAGGATTTGTGTAAGTTATATTTGATCATCATATTAAGCACTTTCTCATCACAAGTTTTCAGACCAGTTAGTTGAGGGAATTTTGTAACAAAATTAGATGAACAATTAAAAAGACAGTGAGATACATGTAGAGTTTTGAATAAAAACATTGAACTATTTTGCTAATCCTTAGCTCACATGATTCATGAATAGGCTTCTGAGCTTCTGTAGACCTCTTCATTGTTGGAAAATGAAATTATTGGTCCATATGTACAGTATGTACATTTCCTGAAGCTTTCTCTTTCATTTGCAAAGGATCCTTCAATTTGAAAAAAGTTAAAAAGTACTTAGACTCTCCTCCAAACATTTTGCAGTGGTCTGCATACCTGCCTGGTAAGCACAAGGACTTGGGTTCCATCCCTGTCACCGCATGCCTTATGGGCCTCTCCACCAAGCTGGCCCCAAAACCAGGAGTGGTGGCACATGCCTATAACCCCAGTACTGGGTAGGCTGAGATGGGAGGATCACTAGGAGTCTGAGCTGTGTAGCAGGACCCTATACCAAATAAGTAAATAAAAGATTAAAAATTTTTTTTTTTAAATTTTGCTTTGATGTTTATAACACAAATATAACATGTGTCAGATCAGCATGGTATAGTGGAGACAGTTCTAGGCTCAGTCAGAAGTGCTGGCCTGCCCATCACTGACTAGCTTTAAAACATGGGCTAAGATGTAGTTTTTTTTTTTTTTTTTGCAATCCAGTTTTCTTCTTTTGCACAAGAGGATTTTACCTTAATGTCTTTTCTAGCTTTCCAATTCTGTAAGTTATTTCTCCTTCAGAGGACTGGAAATTGTTGTTAACTCTGGCTAGATTAAGGAACTATAGTTTCAATTCCGGTTAGATTTCATTTCTACTTGGGATTGAACTTGGGACCTTGCACTTGCCAGACAGGCACTTGTGCTGCTGAGCTATCTACCTGCACAATTTTCATTTCTTTTTCTTACTTGTGTATGTATAAGACTGGGCATGGTGTTGTACTCCTGTAATCCCAGTGCTGGGGAGGCTGAAAACACTATGACTCTCAGTTGCGTAGTGAGACCCTGTACCAACTACATAATTAATAAATAAAAAAATAAAAAAGATACATAGGGCTCTTAATCAAATTCAGAAGCTTAACCCTTCTATTGATGTACTTCTGTACTACGATGGGCTAGTGAGATAATTTAAACTACTTTATTAGAAAATAATACATGCTTATTATTTATTAATCTGCAGTATTGAGGAGGACTGTTCAAACTCGCCCTGCTCCACGAATTCTTACCACTGTGGAAATGATTGAGAAGGAACAAAATTGGGAAAAGAAGACCTTACCTACTGATACAGATACTCCAAATTTAAGTGAAGAGAATCGACTGTTCACTCAGAGGTGGAGAGTCTCTCACATGGGAGAGGATCCGGAGAACAAAACCCAGACACCTTTTGTTAACCTCTCACAGCCCCTCTGCAGTTCCCATCCCAGTGTTCAACAGTTGAGACATCCTGCATTCTCAGAAGAGCTCCTGGAACTGGGAGGTGGGCAGCAGCCTAGAACAGTTGAGGCACCAGTACAAAGAAAGGACATAATGGCACGGATTGCTGAGTTGACGCTGCAGAATTCAGCCATGAAGGCACATCTGAGTAACAGTCATGGGCCAGAAGGAGAGCCAGGGGATGGACTGAACAAACAAGAGTTGAACAAACAGGACGTTGCTGGTGACACGACTGCTGTGAGTACCAGTTAAGGATCAACTAGGGACATACAGGAATTTAAAAGTGTCTGAAGAGACATCTTTGCAGAAGTAATAGCTTTGAGGCTACTGCTAGATGGCTTATGCTTTGACATGTCTTCATCACCAAGATAGGTAAAAGTTATTTATTAGTTTATATTCCATATGCAATAAGAAGACCACGTGAAAGAAAAAATACATGTGAGGAAAACAGGACTAAAATAATGTGTGTGAGTAAGTTAAGCTTGAGTTAGGAATGAACTTTTAAGTAAGCTACATAATAACTGCACTTTAGTTGGAAGTATTTTTCCTCTTAAAGTGGATTATACAAGAACAGCTGGCCCTTAACTCATGAACAGTTAATTTTTAGAACACAGTGTACTTTCCTATGGAAACAATTCTTCAGAAAGGATCATTAAAGTCAGACTTTAAAGTATATGTGAATCATATGAAGATCTTGCTCTAAAACATAATTTATAAGTCTTGGGTAGGACCTGTGCATTTCTATTAAGTTTCCAAATGAAGCCTGTGTTACTGAGGGCCACATTTTAAATAGCAACAATCTGTGTATTATAGTACATAGATTTTATAAGTTAAGTAAACTTTGTGGGCTAACCTGATAATGTAAACCTTTATTTCATTGTTAGGAGAGGGGCTGGGGAGATAGCTCAGTAGATTAAGTGCTTGCCTAGCAAGCACAAGGACCTGAGTTCAATCCGAGGTTCTGGGGGAAAAAAAAAAAAAAATTAGGAGAAAAGGGATTCCAGATTCCAAATAGTAGTGCATCTAACATGCCTCCTCAGGCAGACCCTAAGGATAGGAGGCACTTTCTTTTGCACTCTTCTCGAGCCAGGGGGGTTCTGACAAGGAGGATGACAGTGGTCTCTGTAGAAAGGAGCTGATGGCCTCACCTTGGATTACTTGCCATGGCTGTGCCCATAGAGCTGCCAAGACAGTGAATTAGGGTTTCTCTGAGGAGCACTGGAGGAGAGAGAGGGGGGAGCCATCTGTTAGCACTGGCTCACAGGGAACAAAGTGTGCTGTCGAGTCAGAACGGTAGTTAGAGAGACTGGAAGAGGAGGAGCCAGGAAGATTGGCAGCAGCTGTCGATACAGCTGTAAATATGAACTTTCACAGTTTTGAGTCATGGAGACAGTTATGTTTGCAATTTTGAAGATTGTTTGAAACAGGTATCTCAGATTAGAAAAAAGACAACATAGTTAAGTGTTAAGTGTGTGTCCTTTTCTAATAGTATATGCATCAATTTGGAAAGGATAATTTAATATTTCTGTCCTCACCATCCTCTCATTTTAATTAAAAATATAGAATTATCTTTAATTCATAATGTTTTGCTTATCTTTTTTTAAAAAAACTCTTAAGTACAAGCTATAAATTAATAATTTCTATTAGGGATTGATTTTTTATTTCCCCAAAGGAACATCTTTAACTCAATGAAATTATTGGGATTGACATAAATACATTTTTCTTGGGAATTTTTCAAATTAAACTTATATTCCTAGGCGAGCTATGTTTTGCTCATGTCCCAAATTCCTCTCCAGTTGCAGCTGGTTTTGAACAAGATTATCTTAAGCTAAATGTGGCCTGGAGCGGCTGCCGCATAAGCAGAAGAGTGACAGGGTTCTCAGAATCTTTGCCAAGTAACTCAGCAGATTCATAGTCATACCCCTTTATTGTAACTATGGAAACATCTGCTTCAAATAACAGCGGACCCCTCTTTCTAATCTGTCTAACTTCACATCTGTCATCAATAGGTGTGTGGCATTCAGCTCAGTGGAAGTCATCTTTGCCCCGAGCTCTTTTGTACAGTGCCACAAATGCTAATAATATAGCACTTGATGTGTGCTCCCTGAAAGGTGAGCAGGGTGGGGCAATAGCAGAGGAGCCTTCGTCCTTTTACTTCAGTCCTGATTCTTTAAATGAATTTTAGGTTGTGTTGTTTGCACACTGTTTGCATTTGTTTATGAGGGGTTTGACTGAATTTGCTGCACTTAGTAGAAAAGGCAAAACTGAGTGCTGTTTTTCCAGTATTGAATTTATGCCCTTGTCCCCTCCAAAGCCTTTTCCAGTTGCACAGTTCATAACCCCAAGCAACATGGAGGAACGGATTGCAGAGTTGAATCGACAGAGTATGGAGGCTCGTGGAAAGCTACTGCAGTTGATAGAACAACAAAAACTTGTTGGCTTGAATCTTTCCTCTTCACCAGTGTCACCTGTTCAGTCACCTCTCAGAGCATGGACAGGTTAGTCACAGATTCATGATTTAAAAACCAGAAATATGAAAGTTTTCACTTTCTAAATTTTGCAAGTTCATCATATGTATAATTTCAACCCTGTCTATACCCAGAATGTGTTGAGTTCTAAGTGAAGTAGCAGAAAAAAAGCACTTGTTAACTTATGGAAGTACTCAGGCAAAAAATGTCCTCTTTAATCGCAAAACTATTCTTAGGAGTGAGCTGCTTAATGGTGTTTTCACTGCACTTAGCACTGATATTATCTCATATCTGTGTTGGTTTGGTGCTTATTGCCTGCTCTCAGCACGAATGCTGGAGTAGTGAAGGCCATATGTGCCAGGCACACGGTAGTAATCTGCCACTGAGAGTTTTCACCTCCTAGGAATTATTTTATTTTTGAAAATATTTACCTAGAGGGCTGGTGAGATGGCTCAGTGGTCTAAAGCACCTACTTAGAACAAGCTTAGCAAAGCAAAGCACAGGGACCACAGTTCAATCCCCAGCACCACATGCCAGCCATCCCCGACCCCTGGTGGGCTGAGCTGGCCACACACACACACACACACACACACACAAATAAATAAATAAATAAAATTTTAAAAAAAAGAAAAGAAAAATATTTACCTAGAAAGCAGACTCTTTGAAATTACTGCATAAGCAATGGGCAGCACAATTCTTAAGGACTTCCTATATGTTTGTATTAAGGTTCCTCACATTATAGCTTTGTCTGTTGTTCTTTGTAGTCATGAAGTCTAGAGCAAATTTTGATTTGGATAAATATATTGTTACTCAAATATGTATGAATACTACTGTGTGCCTGCCATAAACTTTGGTCTTATACATGTTTAATAAGGAAGCAAGCCGAGTCACAGAGAAGGTAATTTTCTGATGTTCAAAGCAAGTTGTTGTGGTTTTACATCTGTGCTGTTTGCAGTCTGGTGTCTGTGTCTCTTTAAAGGCTTCTTTTTGTAAGTCAGACTCTTGGTTTCATAGTACGCTCTGGGGGGAATAATGATTAAAAGTAAGAATATATCATATACATGAAAAACCTGCTTTTACTGTCCAGTGTAACTGAGGAATATTTTATAAAATTAAGTAAGATTTTAATTTCCTGAAAGCCAGGAAGTCACTGGTAGGTTTTTGTTGTTGTCATTTTGATTTTTTTTCTTTTTTTTTTTTTTTTGAGGCAAGGTCTCACTCTGTAATTCAGGCTGGTCTTGAACTCACTATTTAGCTCAAGCTGACCTAAAATTCGTGGCAATCTTCCTGCTTTAGCCTTCCAGCCCAAGATTACAGGTGTGAGCTACCATGTGTGGTTTAAGAACTCACTAGCTTTAAGCAATGATTTGCAGTGGCTTCTGTGAAGCTGCTGGGGATGGACAGCAAGTCTTTCATTAGTAAATACTTGGTAAATATTTGCTGATTGATTTCCTACTTCTGAAATATTTAAAATTATATAATTATTCTTATTTTTCATCAGATGAGCTCTTCAGCCAACTTTCCCCTTCTATGTTAGTGTCTTCAGTAATGGTAATAATGTAATAGATTTGAAAGGTTGAAAGTTTTATTGAGGGCTGGTGAGATAGCTCAGCGGTCTACAGTGCCTGCCTAGGCAAGCTTAGGCAAGCTCAGGGAACATGGTTCGATCCTCGGTACCACATACCATGCCAGCCCTGCCCCAAGGGTGGACTGAGCTGGCCACAAAAAGGAAAAACAGATTTATTGAATTTCTTCAGAAATTTCTCCCTCTCCCCCTTTTAAACTTTGGACATCTTTTTTTTTTTTTTTTTTTTGACATCTTTTTTTAGACAAAGATCTCAGATTCTTTAGGGCAGTCTCTTAACTGCTTTTTACTTCCAGATCTGACATGGTAGTTGGCATGCTTACTGAACTGACAGTAGTAGCTAAAGTTTCACAATTCATTTTTCAGAAAAACTTGCAAGTGCATCTGTGGGCCATAATGATGATAATATTGGGGAAAAACATTTATAAAATGATATTGAAATTGAACAAAATTTTTATCAATAGTTAATAAATCTTTTTTTTTTCCATAATTTAGAAGGAGGAAAGAGGACCATTGATGTATGTATACCCAGAGCAGAAGCCCCAGAAAGCTCAAAAGGCAATACTGTCTCTCCTGTCAGTGGGACAAACACAAGGAGGTAGGGCTACAGTATGAGCAGTTGCTTTAAAAATCAAGAGGGTGGTGTGGGTCTTAATCTCCTGTGATTAAATGATGTGCATAATGTCTAATATAAGATCAGAAAGACTCATAAAGAGAAAATAATTGGAGAGGAAAATTTGGAGGGAGTAAGATGGATGAAGGATAAGGTTAAGTAGAAAATTATGGGTTATGGGGCCAGGGAGATGGCTCAGTAGAATAAGTGCCTCCCTGGCAAGCTCAAGGGACTGAGTTCAATTCCCAGTTCCGCCAAAAGAAGAAAAAGAAAAGAAAAGAAAAGAAAAGAAAATTATGGGTTGGCTACTGAAAACAGAAGTGAGCTAACCACATTATTTATGAGTTACAAAATTAGGAGGTAATAAAATGGCAAGATGGGTAAATTGGCTGTAGTGTTCCCTTATAATAGGTGAGACTGCAGCTCATAGAACTGAGTGATTTGCCAGAGAGGTCACATGGCTGGTGAGTGGGGACACTGCAGATGTACCTGGCCTTTCTGTGTCTGCCCTACATCCTCACATGTGCAGCACTGCTGCAGTTCTCATTAGTCTTCTACTATCCTGACCACCTTGCCCACCCGTGCATACACACTTTCTCCTTTGATGTCAGAAACATTGTATGATACTTGTCTTGGTTCCTTTTCTCCTGTTGCTGAGACAAAATACCTGACACCCAAAATGAAGGAAGGAAGGAAGGAAAGAAGGAAGGAAGGAAGGGTTTATTTAGTTCACAGTCAGTGGAGCTTTTAGTCCATAGTCAGCTGGCTTAAGGCAGGGTGGCACATGGCAGAGGGCAGCCGTTCATGATGGTGGAAAACAGCAAAAGCAGTGAGAGCAAAATAGAAGTATGAGTGAAACCTTTTCTGTCCCTTGGGTGGGTGTAGCACTTGCACCCATAATCCCAGCACTAGACAGTGAATCAGTCAGAAACTCTAGATGCCTGCCCCCATGACTGCATGTCAGGGGGCATCCAAATACAAGCCATAACAATACTGTAATGACAGGCACATGTGTTAAAATCCACAGAATATATCATATAAACAGTGAACGCTAATGTAAAGCATTAGTGTTTAGCTAATGTATTGATACTGGATCATTGGTTGTAACAAAGGGGCCACACTAATACCCAGTGTTAATTGGGTAAACTATTAAGAAGTGTGGGGACTGAGAAGTGTCTGGACTTTCCACTTCATCATTCTGTAATCCTAAAACTACTCAAAAAAAAAAAAAAGAAAAAAGAAAAAAAAATGAAGAAATATGGTTGGTGAGACTGTGTTACAAATACTTTTCCTAATTTGGACTTAAGTCAGCCATTCTTTTTCAAGCTCTGACCAGTATTAAGAATTGTTATTGCTTGCAAAATCTGTGGAGACTAGTATTAGCTCATTTTTCATTATCTTTTTATTTTCATAAATAGATCTTCAGGGGCTACTAGCAATTCCTGTTCTCCCTTAAATGCCACCTCAGGAAGTGGGCGACTCACACCTATTAATCCAAGAACAAAGGTACATTATAAAATGTAATTGTGAAATATGCATAGGGATTATGAGGGTGAGGCTGAAGGTGATTGATTTTAGTGATTTCTACTTTTAGGGATTATTCATGGTATCCTGAAGATGATATAAAATCCTCAGAAAAGATACTGTAATTCACTTTCATTAGAAAAAACTAGTCATATACTTTTGTTTTCTGGAGTAACTAAAGAATAAGGTAAAATTCAACATGATTTTAAGTCTTTTAAGACTGGAAATTGTGGCCAGGGAGATAGCTCAGTAGAATAAGCACTTCCCTGGCAAGTGCAAGGGCCTGAGTTCAATTCCCAGTTCTGCAAAAAAAAAAAAAAGACTGGAAATTACTGGTTTCACACAGGGCTTTCAAAGTTTCATGGCAGGACATGCAGGTGTGCCTTGAGTGGGGTGTAAGAATGTGGAGATCATGGTTTCCATGTGCTTGCTGTGACTAGTTGGAGTGTGGGGCAGTCTTGAGTCCAGCAGTTTTATCCCAGTGTGCCAGGTTATAGTCCAGAGGGTAAACAACATCTCACGTATTCTTTGTGTTACCTACTACAGGTTATACTATTGCAAGAATGTGTAGAAGCTAAGCATTTAATAATATATCCAAAATTTTACAGCAGGCATTTTAATTTTAATTTTTTTTGTAAAAAATAGTTCTTTTGGGCAGGCAAGATGGCTTAGTGGACTAAGTGCATGTTTAGGCAAGCCCAGGGGCCAGGGTTTGATTCCTGGCACCACATGCTGCTCTGGCCCGCCTTGGGCACTCTGAGCCAGTGACCGAGTCTGGGTGTGGTGGCGCACACCTGTAATCCCAGCTCTTGGAAGGCTGTAAACAGGCGAATCACTGAGTCTGAACTAGTAGTGAGACCCTGAACACCCTGTAGACCCTTCCCTAAAATACAAAATAAATAAATAAAATAAATAAAAACATTAAAAAAATTAGATCAAAGAGTGGATACATGACCCAAACGAGAAGCTTAGCTACTCTTATTTGCCTGGCACTAGAAGGTTTGTCCTTTGTTACTTCTTAGTTTCTAAAAAGGCTTCCAGATTGGCTATTTTATATATTTTACCCTCATTCCAGGCATTTGGTAACATTTCATTTACCAAGATGAAGTAATTTATTTTTATCATTTTTAAAAGTTGTACCTTTAGACCACTGGATTTATCCTTTTTAAAAGAAAGTAGGGGGATGGTGAGATGGCTCAGTGGTCTAAAGCACCTACTTAGAACAAGCTTAGCAAAAGAGCACTGGGACCGAGGTTCAATCCCCCAGCACCACATGCCAGCCAGCCCCGCCCCCTGGTGGCCACACACACACACACACACACACACACACACACACAAATTAAACCTTTAAAAAAAATAAAAGAAAGCAGGACTCTTTAATCAGTGAGCTCTGTTGAGCAGGTAATCGGTTATTTGGTTGTCTGTTAGAAAAATATCATCACTCCCACCCAGTGACAGAGATGACTTTGTTGTATACTTTGTATAAATGATCTGTGAGTGCTGAGTGATTTCATGTTTCTGGATATCTTCTAAATCCATTCTGCATCTTTTTCAGCAGATTGAAAAACAAAATGAAGAAGGCTGGTTTGCTCTTTCTACCCACATGTCTTAAGTGGAGTTGGAGTCACCTGTTATAGAGTTTGTTCTGTATACTTTATTGTTGACTGTCCACTCCCATTTTTCCACTCCTGCTTTCAAGTTTTTACTCCTTCAGATAAAACCAAAAAGAGCCTGTGAATTAATATTAATTGAACAGAGGAAAAAAAACCACACAATTATTTTATTTTATTTTTACCTATTCATATAGGTTTTCAACAATCAGCCTTGTAATTAATTCCTTATGAGTAAAATTTGGCTGTAAGTAAAATTTGGCTGTAATTTCTAAAACATTTTAAAGGTTTTTTCTAAAGTAATACAGTTTTACCTTCATCTTTATTCAGGTTTTGTTTGTTTAGTTCATCTTAAATGTAGGTTTCTTTCTTTCTTTTTTTTCTTCTGAAGGACTAAATTGTTTTGTATATGCTTACAATTAAATACCTCTGTGTGATTAGTCTGGTGTTCAGGAAAATATAACATCTTTTGTTTCTTTGGTCAGCAGTTGCTACTGTTCAAGTAGAATGTACAGCTTTAAAACTTCGATGTGAAAATGTTTATATTTGCTTACAGAGTTAAGAATGATTGTGTAAATTCTAAGAATTTTTAGTTTTTAAATGTGAAAATATCAAGAATGACAATGTACATCAAATAAATAATGATCATAGAACTCAAATGTCTAAGTGTATATGACTGGATGGTATATTTAGTGTTTGAAACAGAATTACTGAAATATAAAAAAATTCTATTAATTTTCCCAGTTTAAAATTTAAGATTGGAAGGATAGGTTTTTCAGTTAGGCACCTACCTGGTTGACAAATCTTGGTTTCTATTTCCAAATTGCTTTTTGAATAATCTCTGCCCCCGACTCAATGAGAGGAGTTCTCAGAGTGAGGTGGGAGTGTGGAAGCCCACGTGGGGCTGGGGGCTTCTCCAGGCCTCCTTTCTTCCCTCTGGAGTTGGAAGTCCTGGTCCAGGAAGTGCCGTGTGCAGCTTTCTCTTTGACCTTTTGCAAAAATCGTTTTCTTCTAGCACTGCTGATTTACTTTAAGTCGCCTTGCATTCATTGGAGCTTCTTTCATTTGTATAGCAGTTTTACCTTTTGAAACTTGATATTTATTAAATTCTATCCAATGATATAAACCACTTTAATATTACTCCTTATCAAAATCTCGCTACCCACTCCTTTTGGGAATGCCTTCTTTATGAGATGTATTTTCCTTGATGCTTTTCAACTGATTAGTCCCCTATCCCCCCCTTGCTTTAAGCTTCAAAATCCATTAGAGTTAACTTGGGGAGCTTTAAATACCAAATGACCCCAAGGGGTGATCCTGTATTTTGTGTGGATCCAGCGTCCTGCTACACGGAAGCCCACAACCTACAACCTTATTTACACTTAAACAGCTGACAGAGATGCTAAAGTTTAAAACCCACCAGCCGCCCAACCAACCAATCACAGAAACCCACTACAGCCTCTCCCCCACGTCCCACCCCGGGATTCATCTTTGTACAGTTGATGCTGCTGGCAGCTATTTTCTGTCACGAAAACTGCTCTGCCCCGCCCCGCCCCGCCCCGCCCCGCCCCTGGTCTTTAAAATGTGAGCTTTAGATTTCAAGTTAAAACTTCCCAACACAAAACGGCTGCTGCGATCAGGGCCTCTCTATGCCACTTTGGAACACTAGGCAAGTATTTTGTCACGTATTCAAATGTCATTCAGCCATCAACATGGCGCCGTTTAGCAGTTGAAGAACTGTTTTCTCATTTTGCCCAGAACCAAGGTATCCCAGTTACACCAGTGGGACCTCACGCCCGCGCCGAAGTGCGCAGGAGCCACACGCTGCCTGGTTGGTCTCCGACTGCGCATGCGCTTTGCACCCACTGGGCCCCGCCTCCCTAGGCGGCTTGGTGTTGCCGTGGTAACCACTGTACACTAACACTTCCGAGCTGCAAACAGAGACTGTTAATCTTGGGTAAGTTTGGGCCCTTACAGGTGGGCTCACTCCCTTAATTCTGTTAGTGACTCAGGTGTGGAACCTGCTAGGACTTTAGGCTGAATGAACCAGTATTCACGAAGTTTGCTTAATTTCGTCCTCCTAAGGTAGTGGAACAAAACGTTTCAGGCAACTAGAATAGGACAGTCACTATAGGCGCAGTTCCTGCCTTCAGACTCCAGGTAAGGTGGAGGGAAAGTGAGTTGGCTAGAAAGTCTGGTGGGAGAGTGCTTGGGCTCCCGGATCCTCAAAGCCACCCTTCCCCATACTCAACTGAATGCAACTTGGCAGGCTGGCTCCTCTGCACGGTTTCCTCTTATTTATAAAGGAGGGCAGCAGTGCTTACCCTATGGGGTTCAGATTGTAATTCCATAGGATAATGCAGACCAAGTGCTTAACAAGTGTAGGGCACATGGTTTCACGATAAATATTTCTGTGATGAGTAAAGACAGCATACAAGTGCTCAGTGTGATCAAACATGCCTTGTTCTATGTACCCTGCTGGCTAAAACTTTTGAGAGGCAAGGGCCAAAGAGTAACTAGGGACTGCGAGGGAGGGGAAGTAAACAACAAGGACTACCAGCCCTGTGGTCAAACACTTTAATACTATGCCGAGTAATGGTGTAAAAACTCAAGTTATTTGTGTTCCTATTTGATGGAAATGAAGAGCCATTAATGGTTTTAAACAAGAGGAGCAGCACATTAAAAATGTTCCAGAAATACAAGGAGCAGGATAGAAAATGGTAGAGAAAGGCAAGACCAGATATGAAGCTATGATAATGGCTGAGGTTGGACATAAGGAAAATCAAATACAACGGTGACATTAGGACCAGGTGGGAGGGGATGCATTAAAAGCACTGAATAACTGGATACTTGGTAACAGAGTTTGGAAATCAGCTATGGGCCTTGGGTGAGAGGGATAGATTCAATGAATAACTGCTTTCTTATCTGCAAAATTTGATAATTATGATGATAGTATGTACGTCATGCTTTAAAACCATGTGTAGAACTTCCTTCACATATGATAAGTGTTTAAAAAAACATACACATTTATTATTTTTTCCAGTTCACAAAGTCAAAACAGTCTTTTTAAACTGGACAGCTCGGGCTGGAGAGATGGCTCAGTGGTCTAGAGCACCTACTTAGAACAAGCTTAGCAAAGCATCAGGGACCGCGGTTCGATCCCCCAGCACCACATGCCAGCCAGCCCCGCCCCCTGGTGGGCTGAGCTGGCCACACACACACACCACTCTCTCTCTCTCTCTCTCTCTCTCTCTCTCTCTCTCTCTCTCTCTCTCTCATAAATAAATAAATAAAATTTAAACTGGACAGCTCAATGAGTTGATTAAGAGATTGAGAACATAATTAACATGGCCATAGTACTAACAGTGATGTATAGATTTAATGCAATTCCAATCAAAATAACAACAAAATTCTTCATAAAATTAGTAAAATAAAATCTCAAAATTTATATGGAACCATAAGAGACCTAGAATAGCTAAAGTAATTCTGATAGTTCAGATCTAAAATATCTCCAAAGGACTCACATGCTCATAGAGCTTTTGAAGAGGATTGGACCACAGAGGTGCTATCATTGACTTGCTGTTAGGAGGTGGAGTCTGGTTGGAAGAGGCGGATCACTGGGGCTTGACCTGGGTCTGGATCTCTCTTCCTGCTCCTCCCTTTATTTTCTCTGCTTCCTTACCATCATGATGTGGGCAGCTTTCGTCTGCTCAGGGCTTTCACTACTGCACTGACTGTGCAAGGACTGAGACTTCTGAAATTGTAAGCTATAACAAATCTCTTCTTTAAGTTGTGGGAGTGTTGTGTTGTGTCTCAGTCATGAGAAAAATGACTAAGTCAGTTGAGCAAAGTAGGAGTCATTGCAGTCCTGGGTTTTAACTTATACTGCAGAGCTATAATAACACAAAGAGCATGACACTAGCACAAAAACTGACTTGTTTATTAATGAATTAGAATTGAGGATGGAGAAACAATGCCATATAAATTTTTTTTGCAAGTATTTCGTAGTTAAAAATTATTTTAATGGTCAATTCTTTTTTTTTTTTTTTTTTTTTTGTGGTACCGGGGATTGAACTCAGGACCCTGCACTTGCCAGGCAAGCACTTACTCTACTGAGCTATCTCCCCGGCCATTAATGGTCTATTCTAATATGACTTTTTATTTGTATTTAGACTTTGTGTTGGCTAAAGTAAGATTGATCCATCTCACTGTGGTCCTTTCAGCTGTTTTTCAAAGTAATGGTCTCTTTGGAATTCAGGAAACAGGAAAAGCAGATTTTAAAAAAATAATAATTTTATTGAGAAACAAATAGCAATGAGAAAGTTTCAAAACTGATTACTAGCATAATTTCAGTAATTAATACATTGTATATTGCTGTCTTAGTGGTTATTCATTGTACAAGATGCAGAAATGATATGTTGTTCACAAACACTATTAGTACAAATCTCTCTATTCATTGAATTAAGAGAATGCAGCTGCATATCTGCCCTAACTATTTCGAATATACAGATACCAAATGGTCGTTCATTTGTATCCCCCTTTTTTGGTTAGTTTTGTCAGAGAAGGGAATTCCATTGTCATTTAAATACTGTAGGTGTGTGAATTCAGCAAAATATTCTAATATAGTTCAGTAGTCCATAATAATTTCCATAAGATTGGCAATGTCAGAAGTTGTTGACTTGAAAAAAGAAAAAAGTTGTTGACTTGATCCTTTTATAAGGTTGTATATGGTTAAATTTCTAAATTTCTGTGTAGAATATATAACTGTTTATTCCTATTTTTAAAATTTTTTTTAATTTTTAATTTTTTTTCTTCATATTCTGGAGGGACTTAAAGTTCAACATATCAATACTTGATGGAAAATACCTGTTCCATATTAAGCCTAAGATGTTTGATATCTAGACAGATAATGAGGTTAAGCTCAACTGCCTATGTTGTAGGGTAATAATAATAAGCCTGTCTTCTGGAGGCTTAACAACCTAAGTTTGCATACCAAAAATTAGAGAAAAAGAAAGGCTGCATTTTGGTCCTAGCCTTTCAAGGTCAGTGAAGACTCAGAATGTAGGAGAACCTGTACTGTAACATCATGTAATTCAGTGGTGTCCCAAATTTTCTGATCAAGGAGATTGTGGGGCCACAGAGGAAAGTGATTGATGATGTAGAGTGTGCCTAAGGAGAGTCACCTGGAGAGAAAACATTCTCTCAGGCTTTCACAGAGAGCATATTAGTCAGGCAATGGCCATGACTCATCCACATGGCTGACCCTGACAAAGGATCTACAAACTGCGGTACAGGATTTCAAAATAAATCCGGAGGAGATTTGACTGACTTTATCAGATACAAAAGTTACATTTCTTGTTGCATAGGTCTTGCTTTATCTTAGTCTTAACCATCCAGCAGAAAAGTATAAAAACAAAGTATAAAAAGTAAAGCCATGGGGGCCCAGCCCTAGCTCAGTTCTTTAAGTGGCTGCTTCCACAATGCTGGCAGCTTCAGTTTGCTGTAGTTCGATCCCCACAACACTCCAGCCATGCAAAAGTGCCCTGAAGGCATTCAAGGAGCAAAACACACACACACACACACACAAAAAAAAAAGTAAAGCCATATTAATAACCATATGAATTTTGACAAAAGGACTGAGAACATAGGCTGG